TCTTTTTTTTTGGTTTTTCTCCGGTACCGGGAACCAAACTCACAGCCTTGCACTTGCCAGGCAGGCTCTTTGCTGCTGAGCTAAATCCCTAGCCCCAGCTTTTATTCTTTTGCAAAGAAAAACCCTGATGTAGATTAGAGAACTATCATTTCCGTGAGTTGTTCTCCAAATAGCCTCGCTTAACAGGTGACCAGAAAGGAAGAAAAACGTGTGTGGATACGATATTAGTACTGGCAAAGAGAGACAGGCTGCTCTGTAAATCTCAGCGATCTCCGAAACATGCCAACCGCAAGGGAGATTCCAGAAGCCCTGGAAGCCCCTCCGTCCCTCCCTGCCCAAGTGCCGCAGTCTTCCCTCTCCAAGCTCACCTTTGAAATCACCTTTTGCTGGATTCAATCACAACGACACAAAGGTTTCAGCTCTTTGTTCTTTGGCTCCCTACTGCCAGCCTTCACCTTTGTATTAATTATCTCTTGCTGTGTAACAAACAATTCTGAAGCTTCATGGCTTAGAACAACAAACGTTTGTGTGGGTCAGGAATACATGTTAACAGTTCAGCCCACTCCTCTGGCTCTGACTGTCAGCTGGGCTACAGCCCTCCCGAGGCTCGACTTGGGGAGGATCTACTCCCAAGCTCACTCTTGGATGTTGACACAATTCAGTTCCTCACAGGCTGTTGATGGAGGGTGCCATTACCCGCTTTTGGTTGAGATACTTCTCAGTTCGTGCCATGTGGGTCTTTCCAGAGGGCAGCTTTCAGTAGGCAGGCAACTAGTTCCCACCACAGAGAGAAAAGAGTACCAGCAAGCTGAAAGATAGTCCACCTAGCCTTGGAAGGATGGCATCTGTAGTTGTCTGTTTTCTGTTACTATAAGAAACTTCCTGGGGCTGTCTAACATATTCAAAATGAGGTTTATTTAGCTGACAGATTTGGAAGCTGAAAGCCCAAGCCGCATGGTGCCTGTGAAGTGAGGTTCCTGGAAGTGTGTGGTGGAGGACAAGCCAGGCTACTCTCCTTGAAAGAGGAGCAATTGCCTCCATTTTGGCTGAGCCTGACCCTATTTCCATGTATTGGCATGTACAGAGCTGGATAGGACTTCTCCTTATCCCTTCAGTGGGCTTTAGGCAATGCATATCGGTCTATCCTAGCCGAGGTGCTGACGGTAGTCTTTGGAGATGGCAGACGTGTTTCCCCAGACCCCCCGTGTTCCCATGAGTGAGCTGGGATGAGGCAGGATGTGTGAGCCAATGCTCCACGCTGTCGCTGTCGGCTGGGATGGCGCCTTGGGATAGAGGCTATGACTTCCTGGGGCTTCAAACATTACACATCAGAGCTGAAGCACCGACCCCAAAACATTAGATACTCTCTCAATTGTGTTACGCAGATCACTCTTTCTGCATATCCTTCCCTCTGCATTTGCAGAGGTGATCTCAGGCCTCCTACCCAGCCCAGCTCAGGGCACTCACCTACTTCCCACCATTCCCACAGTCACTCATCCTCAAGCCACTCCCTTCTTCATGAATGAATAAAACCCGAGTTTGGCCTTGGGTGGAGGCCTTTGTTCTGGATGGCCATCCTCGTGGCTGGACATAGGACCCCTAGGCTCCCCGTAACTACAAATATGCCTTAGGGTCTTTATTCTCGCCATGGGTTGCACTGGAAGTGGTGGATTGGAATTAACTCACTAGGATTCCAATAACTTTTCACGGGATCACAAATAGAAACTTCCTGGGCTGCGATGAGGACTGGGAAGGGCTCTGAATAGAGGGTCACCCTCTGTTGGACGGCACCATGGCCTGAGTATGTGGGAGAGAGACAGGTCGCATGGTGAGACAGAAGTCAGAGTGACAGGGGCAGCCAGGTTGCTCTCTTATAACCACTGTCTGTTGAGAACTTAGAGTCCTGCAGGAACCTCCCTAACCGCTTCCTAGGGTAGAACCTCACCACGCTCCACCTCTCACAGCGCCGCTGGGAGGACCCTGCCCCCAACGCGTGAGTCTTGGGGAGATACACTCGGTCAGTCCCAAGCCATAGCAACATCCCATCACTTTCTCTATCTTATTCTTTAGGAGGAAGTCACAGGTCTGACCTGCACCTAAAGGAGGAGACTCTAAAGGCTGTGACTATCAGGAAGGTGGCATCATCGGGGGTGCTTTTATACCAAGACTCGCACACAAGTCGCTATCTGGGAATCTCCCTTTCCTCACGGCAGCCCTGACAACCGCACGCCGATCAGCAGCTCCTCCTCACTCACACATCTATCTGCAACGATCACAACAATAATGTAACCCCTGGCCCCTAATGAGGAGTTTCTCTGACCCCGGCTCCGTTCTTGGTGCTTTGTGCACATTCAGTGAACAGTCTGTAGTTCTTCACACAGCCTGCAAAGCTTTCTTCCAGCAATGATGTATTAGGGTCCCTTCTGCACTTTCCTATTACACAGGGAAGAACTCAGTAGAGGGCCCCCCATGATGCCACCTTCCTGATCTTCACAGTCTCCTGCCCACTGCAAGGCAATGCTCAGTGAATAGCGGCATCACAGCCTGCTGCACATGTGTCCTACGACTGCTGTGGCCAGTGACCGCAAGCTGGGCCGCTCAAAGCATCAAAAATTCATTCTGTCAGAACCCCTACATGCAGAAGTCCAAAAATCAAGGAGTCAGCCAGCAAGGTCGGTTCCTTCTGGAGGGTTAGAAGGAGAACCTGCTCATGCCTCTCCCCTAGGTGACTGTGGGAATATTCAGGTTCCTCGCCTGGCAGCTGCATCTCTCTGGTCACTGCCTCCATCACCACATGGCCTCTTCCTTGTGTCTCTGTGCCCTTGCCTCTCTTTGCAAGCACACCCATCATTGGGCCTGGGGCCCAGCTTCATCGAGCATGACCTCATTATGCCTGAATTATGCCTGCAAAGAACCTTCTTCCAAGTCAGCTTGCAACCTGGGGTTCTGGTAGACCTGGATGTGGAGAGGCCCTATTCAACCCCCTCCATGTGCTGTCACAAGCATGGGTCCTTGAAGAGGATACAGCAGAGGAGACAGGAGCCTACTGTGATCAAGTTCAGGTCCAGCCCAGAACTTACCTGCAAAACGCTTGGTGGAGAAAAGAGATCCAAGTCAGAGCAATGCAGCAATGTATCGATAGCAGTGAGATTTGAACTTTGGGCTGGCAGACTTTGTAGCAGAACCAAGCCTGAGCAACGGCCCGACCCACGACCACATGAGGCGTGACTACTTTAGGTGATACAAGAAGCAGGAGTTGAAGGGGTGGCCTATGGAGGGCCCTGAGCTAAATGAGCACCCGGAACTCCGCCTGCAGGCCACGAGGCACGCCTGGAGATGCGTGAGCTAAGGAAAGAAGCAAAGTCAGCAGTCTCCTGAGTGCTGCCATGCTTCATGGTGACCTCAGTGCCCACTACTTTAGCTTTAAAGTCCTGGGCAGTCTCCAAGGCCAGCTCGACTAGTCGCTCTAACCCCTGCTCACATTGCTGGACGCACTTGCAGAAAAAATACGCAGGGCCACGCAACACAGCCAGTTGCGTGTCAGAGTTTCGTGGTCACCACGAGACCAGAAGCTTTTGCAAGTAGAGGTTTTATTTGAGCTGTGCCTCCTCTGAAGCATATGCGATGGCCATTTGGAAAGAGATAAAATTATCTCAGCTTCGCACCCTGCTCGAGAATAAACACCAAGTGGATCAGAGCGCTCAGTGTCAAGAGTGACACTGCACAAGCTCTAGAAGGGGAGATGGGTGAAGAAAATCTCTCTAGAAAGGGCTACACAGGCAGAAGCAATAGGAGACTGACAAGTGCGATGACCTCAGTAACGAAGAAAAAGCAAGAACACGTTTTGTGTGGCAAAAAAGAAGATAAAGCTAAGTCAGAAGACAGATGATAAGCTGAGATGAAACATTTCCACTTACATCCCAAACAACGCTTCCTATGGTAATATGCAAAGAGCTAAAAATTTACTTCAAAATAAAATCAGATCAAGCAAGGCATGTTGGGACACACCTGTAATCTCAGCACTCAAGAGGCTGAAGCAGGAGGATTGCTCTGAGTTTGAGGTCTGCCTAGGCTACATAGTGTGTGCAAGGCCAACCTGAACTACATAGTGAGACTGTCTCAGAGAAAAAAAACCCAGCTAATCATTTGATAAAAGGAAAGAGGCAGAAGACAGCAACAGAAAGTTTGTAGTAAAAGAAATATAAATGACTCTTAGACCTTTTGAAAAGACTTGGCCTGACTCATCATAAGAGTAATGCAGATTAAAACTATCCTGGGATACTGTTCCTATCCTATCAGATTGGAGAAAATCCCCAAATTTGACAGCCTACCTGGTTGGCCAGGCTGTAGGAAGCAGATACTCTGCTCTGGGGTGAGAGGACAAAACAGTACAACCTTGACTGGGGGACGTTGGCCCCATCGAGAAAGTTACAGATGCATTATTCCTTTGGTACAACAATCCCACTTCTTGATGCCTACCCCGAAGACAAACCTACACATGCACACGCGAACACACACAGAGTTATCTCTCATGAGATCACGGCTCGCCGCTCACAGTGCTGGGGATGACTGGCCGGGCAGCAGTGCCTGCCTGGCCCTACTGAGGGCACCCTGGCTGTACCATGCCATGGCAGATGCCTGCGGGTGAGAGGGGCGCTCCCACGGCAGGACGAGAAGCCAGCACATTCGAGGGGCCGGTCTTGCTCTTACAACAACTCACTCTCGGGAGAACCAACCCATTCTATGAAACCAGTGTCGGTCCTTTCCAAGGGCATCCCCAGTGACCTGCTCCCCTCCCACTGAGCCCTACCGCCCCTCAGCATGGCCAGCCTGGGGACCGAGCTTCCAGCACGTGAACCCTTGGGGGAAGAGCCACATCCAAATCAAGCATGAGTGAATGAGAAGGGGAGTTGGAGGCGGGGAGACGTATCTTCACAGAAGAAGAAAAAGCCATGTAATCCCTGGAGAAGCAATGATACCATTAGAAGAATCCTCATTTTGCAGCTATGAGTGAAATAATTGTTAGGATCAGCAATGGATATTGACACCAGTAAGGAGGCTGTAGAGACCTGAATGCACGTGTGTGATGGTAAAGCTCCACCCTGAGATTGTTCCTGAACTCACCCTTGTGATCCTGAGAGCTAGCTATCACCACATTAACCAGGAGGCCAAACCTAGCATCTGTAAGGGAGGACAGCCTGGTATCAGTTCCACAGTGAAATCCACAGTTTCATCTGTGACGTAGGTTTGCCTAAAACATCTAACTTGAATCTAAGCAAGGTTTGGGCCTAACTTCTAGTACAGGGGCTAGAAGAACAGGTTAAATGCCACCACAGGAAGCAGTCAGACAAATCTAAACACAGACCATGCTGGGCTCTTATAGAAAAAATGAGTATCAAAAGTAAGGAGTAGAGGTCACTGTTCTATCGTGAGACTAAATAGTAAACAAATGTAGTTTTGAAACTTGGCTGGTTCTTATTCTAACAGAGCAGCTGGAAAAGAAAATGGGAAAATCATAAAAGGGTGCAAGTTGACTGGCTATTTGCCAATACTGGTGAATTATTGGTAATTTTTGTAGGTGCAAGAACAACACTGTAGTTGCATGATTATGTAAGAATTATATTTTTAGGAGATATATATTCAAATGTGGCTGAAGTGTCATGATATCTACAATATATTTTCAGAATGTTTTATCAAAACTAGACACATGATACATTCTTCTCTATGCACATAGGCAGATAAAACATATTTGGTGCACACTAGTATCGGCTCCGGGTGCTGGAAAGGGGGTGTTCATTAGATACGGTTTCTTTGCTTTTCTGTTTGAAGTTTTTCATAATGAGAATTTGAAAAATATTTGAAAATATTTAGGATATGCAAAAATATAACTAGGATACACAGGGAAGGAAAGCCTGAGTCCCTGTCCGTGACAGGAAAGGTTTTCTGGCTCTGGATCTGGCTCTCTGTCCTTGCATCTCTGCTTTCCCTGTCTGTGACAACGCATGTCCAGATGTGACTCTGTCCATTTGTGTATTATTAAAATTAACTGTGGTAAATACATAAAATCTACCGTGAGAACAGCTTTTAAGCTCAGTGATGCTGAGTACATTTGCCTCACTGTGCAATCCTCACCATTCTCTCTCTTGGTGGATGACTTATAAAAGCCTCTTTTCTGCCTTCCACATGAGTTTATCAGGAGCATTTTTTTTTAAAAAAAAGAACTGGAAACCACCTGGGTGTGGTGGTTCAGGCCTGTAATCCCAGCACCGGGGAGCCTGAGGCAGGAGGATCCCTGTGAGTTTGAGACCATCCTGGGCTGTATAGTGAGTTCAAAGCCAGCCTGAACTTCCTAATGAGACCTAGTCTCAGAAACAGATGAACAAACAAACAAAAACAGAAAACAAAAAGCCCAACAAAACCCCCCAAGTTTGCAAGCCAAAATACCCCAAGAAATTCTGTTCACATTGGCCTACGGATAAGTGGGTGCTCACACAAAATTGTTAAGTTAGCCAAGATATCCTTCAGTTCATATGACTCAAGTAAACTGGCAAATAAATCAATTTAATTTTCCTGATAAGATTAAAATAGATATCTTTAAAGTTGTTAGCTTGCATGTTTCCCCAGGATGCTAGCCGGTCAGGATTACGTTTGTCTCTGTTAAAAGTTTAAAATACGTTGACCATTGCACATCTCTTTTTTTTTTTTTTTTTTTTGCCTTTTTGAGACAGGGTCTCGCTATGCAGTTCAGACTGGCCTTGAGCTCACTTTGTAGCCCAGGCTGGCCTCAAACTCGCAATGATCCTCCTGCCTCAGCCTCCCGAGTGCTGGGATTATAGACATGTACCACCACACCCAGCAAATTACCTATTTTTATACATTCGTTTTCGTGGGTAATCTAAAAGGGCTCTTCAAATGGGTAAGCTAACAAATGTAAACGTTTACAATGAAACATCTGAATCATGTCTAAGTACACTAAAATGCTTTTTCTCAGAATAAATAAAAATTTATTTTTTTCTTGTCTCTATTATTATTATCATCATCATTTAGCAGATGCCCGAAGCACATAATGATTACATGTATTGTGGGGAACTTGTTGTCTGTACATAACATCTTCATTCCCTTTTTGTTCCTTTTGCACTCCCACCCTTCCCCGCCCTCTCCATCACTTACTCCCTTCCCGTTTGCCAGAACAAAACTAAAGATAGGTAACAGGAAGGAGGGAAAAGCCAGTGGTGGTGACACATGTTTGTAATCTCAGCACTTGGGAGGCTGAGGCAGGAGAATCGCTATGAGTTCGAGGCCAGCCAGGGCTACATAGCAAGACCCTGTCTCAGAAAAGAGGAAAAGAAAAAAAAAAAAAAAAAAAAATTGGAAGCTTTTTCCAATGGGAGGGGAACCAGAGATGGAAGGAGGATGCAGGGGTAGAAGAGAATTAGGATGGAATGAAAGAAAATGAAGGGAAAATGGAAGTCAGTCACAATGTTAAAACATCAGTTGCTAAATATAAGTCCATGTATCTTCTCTTAAAGTGAACACACAGACAAGATGTTTAGAAAAATACAGCTGCAGACCACTCATCTCACAGAAATGCACTTAAAGCACCAGGGGGAGTCTCCCTGAGGTCACAGGGCCACTGTCCCCAGGTCTCGGGGAGGCTGAAGGCGACTTGGCACTGACCTGCGGAGCCCAGAGCTGGCGGGAGAACAATGCTCACCCTTGAGCCGCTTCTGGTGAAACTGCAGCCTGAGGAAATCTGGAAGGGCAGCAGGGACATGCAAAGGAGATGCAAATGGGGTGCAAATCGCGGTGGGCCGGGGCTCCCTGCATCACCGCCCGTGTCTGCAGCCCCCACCTTCCTGGTGCTCCTGGGCGTGAGGTAGAGCCCAGGGCTCGTGGGAGCAGGCAGCTCTTTCCCAGGTGGGCTTGTATTTCTAGCCCTGCACGGTCTCCTGAAATCTTCGTCCTTCCCTGGCGGCTTTGCTTCCTGGGCACGGAAGCCCCGACCCTGGTGGGGTGTGGTGGCATCGAGGTTGGGGGTTCCACTCAAGGGGGGTCGCTGGGGGCGGGAATTGAGGATTTTACCCCAGGGCCGGCTCCTGCACACACTTGTGCACACTCACAAGCACGGCTTGCTGGGAAGGCACATTCTCGCGTCCACACCTCGCACTCGCTGATCTATGCACCAGCGTGGTGCCCGTCGTACAGGACGGGGTGGCCTGTGCCCCACTGGGTCTGGCTGCTTGCCTCTGCTTGGGGCGGCATGGACTCGGCCACCGTGCCAGCCGTGCCCGGAGGGTGCTGCTTGGTTTCCCCTCGCATGGTCAACCGACCCCACCCCTATCCTTCCAAGCCCCCACATGCTCCTGAGAACTGAAAGCGGCCCGTCGGGCCGGCCCCTCGCCCTGTTCCGCCATGCCGAGACCAGCGATGGCGAACCTTCTGGAGACGAGAGCCCAGACTACCGCCCTAAACCGGCTTATCTACCGCAAAGGGCCAACACTGCAACTAAACCCGAGCACCAAGGTTTTCGCTTAGAAAAAAACAACTCATACAGCGCGTGACGTCAGCACACAGAGGACTCCTGTGGCGGTGCGTGCCATCCCTCGCCATCGCTGGCCCAGGGTGAAGGCCCAAGTCTTCACCCCCCACACCCGGGCAGCCGCGGAGCCAGATCTCTGGGCGTCCCCCAGCTGACTTGAAGGCGGAAGTCCCGGAGGGTTTATGGGGCAGTGAGCAAATGTCAGGCGTCCCGTTAATAATCAACCCGCCATGGAAATGAGCGCAGCGTGGGCGACAGCAGCCGGGGTAACGCTGACCGCCCTGTTGTCCCCACCGCTCCTGATGAGCCAGTGAAAGGAAGAAGGCACAGTCTGCAGTCAGCTGTGGAATGTGACTGCTGAAAACACAGCTCACACACTGACAGCAATTTTAACGCTTACGAGATGCTTTTGCACACACGATCTCATTTGCTACCTACCACAGCGCCGACAGAAGGGTCGCCCTCAGCCCCGTTTCACAGGTGGG